ATATGATCGTATGGAATGGTCTTTCATTGAAGCCACCATGAGGAAGATGGGTTTTTCAGATGTCTGGATTACCTGGATCATGCGATGTGTAACAACAGTAAAATACAAGGTACTCATGAATGGTCAACCAAGAGGGAATATAGTTCCGGAGAGAGGTCTACGTCAGGGAGATCCTTTGTCTCCTTTCATTTTTATTCTATGCACGGAAGCGCTCGTTAGCCTTCTTAATCACGCAGAGAATCAGGGAAAGATAACAGGGATGCGCATCACACGTGCGTGTCCTTCGGTATCCCACCTTCTCTTTGCTGATGATAGCCTTTTCTTCTGTAAGGCGGAGCCCCGTGAATGTGAAGAAGTAATGAAAGTGGTGAGGAAATATGGACAAGCCTCTGGACAGTGCATAAACTTTGATAAGTCTTCTTTACTCTTTGGGAAGAGGATCAGTCAAGAAGCCAGGCAGGAGATTAAGGATACACTTGGGATCCAGAATGAAGCAGGAATGGGGACTTACCTTGGGATACCAGAGGATATTAGTGGCTCAAAGTGTAAGTTGTTTGCCTTCTTAAAAGACAAACTTAGGCATCGAGTGAATGGATGGACGGGCAGGTGGTTATCTAAAGGTGGAAAGGAAGTAATGATAAAGTCAATCCTACTAGCTCTCCCAACATATGTTATGTCTTGTTTTTTGCTCCCATTGGAGATTTGTGATGCCTTAGCAAGTGCCATTGCACAGTTTTGGTGGAGTTCAAACCCACCAAAGAAAGGCTTACACTGGACAACATGGGATAAGCTATGTCTATCTAAGGAAGATGGAGGGATTGGCTTCAGGATGATTCATGAGTTCAACCTGGCATTACTAGCAAAGCAGTTGTGGAGACTGGCCCAAAACCCAGATTCCTTGGTAGCTCGTGTTATGAGAGGGAGATATTATCGGCTAAGTTCGCCTTTGCGAGAGCTCACTGTTAGTAGTCCATCATATGTGTGGACAAGCATTTCGGCTGCACGAGAATTACTGCTATTGGGGATTAGACAGAAGATCCATTCAGGTTATGAAGTCAAGGTTTGGGAGGATCCTTGGATCCCCACCATCCCGGCAAGACCAGCACATTCATCAGCTCCGGTACTAAATCCGAATATGAGAGTGAGTGACCTTATAAACCAAGAAACTAAGTCCTAGGATCTGGAACGGCTGGCAAACTATGTAGAATCTGCCGATATACCTCTCATAAGGAGTTTGGCATTGAGTTCATCCCATCGCAGAGACACATACTGCTGGAGCTACACAAGGAGTGGACAGTACACAGTTAAGTCAGGTTACTGGGTAGCCAGGAATGTACTAATGAAAGAGGAAGAGGATATGGTAGACGAACCTAGTATTAAAAGACTCCAAGCACAGGTGTGGAAGGTCAAAGCTCCTACGAAGATGTGTCATCTTATGTGGCAGATTATTTCAGGACAGGTGGCTGTTACGAGTGCGCTGAATCATAGACGCATGCGATGTGATAATTACTGTCCACGATGTGGAGAACCAGAGGAAACAATTGCACATGCGATTTTCCAATGTCCACCGGCTCTACAGGTATGGGCCTTAGCATCTATACCTACCAGTCCGTCGCTGTTCCCTTTGGAGAGCACATATGCGAATATGGACTATCTATTCTGGCGAAAGAAGGCCATTTGTGGGCCAGCTATTGAAAAGGATCCTTATCCTTGGCTGATATGGTACATTTGGAAAGCCCGAAATGATAAGTTGTTCAGAGGAATAGACAGGGATCCTTTGGAATTGGCTAGGTATGCTGAGAGTGAGTGTCTTGCCTGGTTCCAAGCCAATGAGAAGGAGGTTGAGACTACACAAGAGAACAGCGATAATGAATGTCAGACCGTAAGTCTACAAGATATATGCATGATAGATGGTTCCTGGACCTCTATAGACCAGTTCTCCGGGTGTGGATGGGATTGGAAGGACAGTATGGGAATCAGTCAGCTGATGGGGATGCGCAATGTGAGTAGAGTGGAATCGGCTTTGCATTCTGAGTTGGAGGCGCTGCGGTGGGCAATGGAGAACATGCTTCAACATTCGCCATGTCAGAGTTTCGGGACGGACTGCAAGGAGTTGTTAGCAATGCTTAAGGATCCCCATGGATGGCCAAGCTTCTCGACAGAACTGGAGAGGATTTCGACGTTGAGGATTTGCTTTCCAGCCTTTAAGATTTCTTATGTGCCTCGCGTTTCAAATACTGTATCCGATCACTTAGCTAAGACTGCCCGATCCTTTTATCGGGAGCTCATGTATGTAGGTTGTTCTATTCCGGTCTGGATTCCCAGGCCACCTCAAGCTTGAGTAATAGATCAGCCGTCCGTTGTCAAAAAAAAAAAAAAAAAACTATTTTTAATGTATTTTATTTTGAAAAAAAATTGGAAAATTTTATTCCGCTTTTAATCAAATAAAAAACTATTTTTAATGTATTTTATTTTTTCTTTAGTATTATTTTATCTTAAAATAACTGCACAAATACATGCTATTTTTTATATATAAATGCTATTTTATTTTAAATATAGATAAAAATCGAATTTGTATTTTAAAATATGAGTGAATTAATAAGATGTTTCTCTAAAATTTTTTACAGAAAATTTAGAGGTACATTGAAAATATTTTTTAAAACTAATATTTTTTCTGTGGTAAATTTAGATTCAAAAATTATGCATAATACGTGTGTAAACTATAATATTTCATTGTTGTTGTTAAAAAGGTTATAATATTTAATATTACTGAAAAAAATTATGTCGGTTAAGTCTTCTTGGATAGAAAATTACACTGCTTATGGGCTTTAGCATACACATAGAATATAAAGTTAATGGCCTCTGGGCCGGGCTTCTCAACCTCATAAAGAAAGAAGCGAAAGGGAGAGAATCGAAGTATTCTCCCAGTTGCGTACAATGTGAATGCCCAAACTCTCAAGACGGTGATAGAAGCATCATGTATGCTCCTAAGGATCAATGATATAGTAAGTGGTATCAAGAAGAAGCAAGCTCATGGACCCTGGACCTACAAATCCAGCAGCCATTGAGAGACAGGAGCTTCCTAACTAAGAGAAGCCAAACTCAAATCGTTGGTATGTTTGTGTTCTCACTTGTTTATCTATTTCTTCCTTTTTTGGCTTTATCATTCCCTTCGAAATATCTTCTAATTTTCCAATGACTTAGTGAGATAAGCTTTTTGAATTTTCATAGTCACTAATTGGTTGCTTTTTAGAGTAAGTTGGTTATGCCTTTTTGAAATTTATGCTACAAAGACTTTTATAAGATTCGGTTGTCTTTTTCTGTACTATTGAATATGGAGTTTTAAGTTGACCGCTAGTGTCAATATATCTTAATGTAAACGCCATTAATTGTATACTTTTCATACTTTTTGATGTTCAAGATAATAGTAAGACGTTACAGATATTTTTGTTAATATATACATTATGTTGTCAACAGGATAATTATAAGACGTACACAAACATTTTCATTATTAGCATGTTCTATTCTTATATTTTTGTGAAAAAAAATAATAAATTGTCACGTTTTATTATTTGTTTCTTTCATTTGTATTTGTCAAGTTAGAATCCTTGACTACAACTCTTAAGAGGATAATGATAAATTGGGAAGTAAAACACATTTTTGGTCCTTACAGGATTTTTTTTTTGTTACGTAATTATTTTTTCCTGTACATGTCAAGTGAATATAGTTTACTTACACGTCTGAACACATGATATCCGTGGTATCATATTTCAAAAATAACTTATACACAACTAATATTCAATTGTGAATTTGCATGTGTTTGATATACCTTTAATAAGTTGATTACTGATACCAGTCAAGAAAAACAGAACCCCGTGACAGAAAGCCACTACAAATGAATGAAAAATCATACTTTAATCTATTTTTTTGTAGCATACATTGGTAGATTTTTGTTGTTGCATATAAGTGTACTCCATAATCGAGTAGCATTGAGAAAATATGGTTGTTGGCTTTTAAAGATATGGACCCAGAAACACTACAAAAGTGACAGTTAAGAAGATATACACAAATAACGTGACAGCAAGGGAGAAACCAATACTTTTCAAAAAAAAAAAAAAAAAACTGAGAAACCAATAGGAAGATAAATAAAAAAAACAAATTTAGATTAATATCACATATTTGATTCCATAATCGTGTTTAACAAGTTGAATGGAGTAGTGATCAAATATGTGTTTACATATACCTAGATTTTTAGGATTTGGATCCATATATAGTCTCAAGAAAGTTTGGTGGGTCGGAGTTGTCTCAGCCTACTTTCTTTGAGGATTGTTTGTTACATTATTCACCAGTTATTTTTTATTCACCAGTTAAGTAGTCAAATGCACAACAACAAGTTTAACCGGAGTTTAATCCTGCAATTTAAACCAAATTAAAACTGACCTAAACCGTTTTAGAATTTTGCCATGTGGATCGGTCCCGTTTGCTATAAACACCATAATATATAAAAATTGTCCAAATGTGAAAATGATTTCTATGAAGTGAATCACAGGCTACATGACAGCAAATTCGTATGACCTACACACGATGTTAACGGATCGTTCGTATTCTAAAAGGTGTGAGATATTTTGATTCGGTAGCAAGATTTTCATAACACGTTGAGAGCGATATAATAACTTGTAAACAAGAGAGGCGAATCATGCAGTAAAACATACCAACAAATATAATATTCGCGCATAATATAATAACAAGGAAGAGAAGACTTATGAGTTATGACTTGTGAGCTGTGACGGTATGCATATTGTATATTCAACTATGGCGCCACATAAAGCACAAGTAACGTTTGTTGACCAATGACTTGATGACTCAGGAGCATGTGAACATAAAAAGAGACGTGTATGCATCCCATTGGCCGTAAACGGTTTCCCTTTGTGCTTCACTCCCTCTTCTTCTATATAAAGAAGTAAACATCCCCAATGGTCTATTTAACTAAGTGTTCCTTTTTAACTCGTTAGAGAAAATAACTTTCTAAATTTAGTTTCTGAAGAGATCTTAAGTATGGCCGGAGGAGGTTTTGCGACGGCTTCAAACGGAGTAGAGTTTGAGGCAAAGATAACTCCTATAGTTATCATCTCTTGCATCATGGCTGCTACTGGTGGTCTCATGTTCGGCTACGACGTTGGTGTCTCTGGTATGAATATTCCAATTATAGTTTCTAAGAAAATGAAGTAGAAAGTTTGATTATAAGGATACTTAAGTTTGTGTTAGTGCAAGACTTCTCAAGTAATAATTCTTAATATGACTTGGTTATGTTCTCATCTACCATATCTAACTTCTTTGGGAGGAAGATTTCACCTAAAATATAGAGAACTTTTTATTTTTTAAAAAAATTTAGAGAACTTGTAGAAAGTAGTTTATCAAAATGAAGTTTCATTTAGTTCAACTAATGTCAATTATAATTAGTGAAATCATAGCTTGCAAAAGTTTGGCAACTAGTGATCTTCCTGCCCCTAGATCTAGATCGTCCTTGTTTTAACTTTAAATAGTTATTTTCAAAAAAAAAAACTTTAAATAGTATATATAGTGACAAAACTAGTGTCATAGGTTTTAGTTTTCTTGTTTGTTTTAGAATAACTAATTATAATTATTATTTTTTGAGAACAAACTAAATACAATTTTATCGTCTACACACTACAAGAAATCATCGTCAAAGCCGATGACATTTACCGACTACTACTCTCCTCGGTAAGTTTACGATGGGTTTCTGATTACTTTCCGAGGACATATAATTTTCGTCAGAATATTCTCGGAAATATGCGATAAACCAATATTCTCAGTGTTTTGTCGTAAATTAGTGTGGGTATGTTGTCGGAAATAAAAAATGATC